CTTGCCCCCCCCCCTCCCTCCCACCGTGATACTACCGGGCCCATTTCCCCCCCTCGCAACCCCACCCCGAGGTCTTGTAAGATGGTCCTACTTAAAATCAATTAATAGGCAAATTGGCTGGGCATTACTGCTGGCAGATGTAATTTCATGATGAATGATTCGACGGGGAGTTGGGCATGTTTCTCGCGTAACGAGTGTTGTTCCCTGTCCGCCCACGCAGGACGCAGACGCAAATGCAAACGCAAGGAGAGAGGAAGATGAAGAAAGAAAGAAAAAAGAGGCAATAACGCACACGCCAGAAATCGTAGAAGCCGCGAATTTCAGTGTTAAATCGTCGGCAATCGTTGTCCAGCATTAACGTCCCACCTTGCACGTATACCAACTGTCCCAGCAAGGGGCCTTTTCTGGGCCTAGGATTATCTTCCAGCTTCGATGCGGGGGTTAACCGGGTCTCCATTCCAGGGCTGAAGTATAAATCAGTATTCGAGTCTAGTAGCAGCGAACGGCCTCTTGTTTCTCATGGCATGAGAATCCCTTGTAAAAATCTCATTCCAGATGCATTTCGACAAATCCTATCCTGCCTTTACCATCGAACCTGGAGACTGAGTAGGCACTATTGCTTTTTCAACGAATCGTGGAAAAACTGGAAATCCCGTGGGACTTCGGTTAGAAGTCCTAATTTCCATTTCTATGATATCGCCTTACGTCGACTCATAGGTTACGTTCGCGTCCATGAGTATGACGGCCGATGACCAAGACGCACCGAGCCCACGAGGCTGACAGTTGGGCCCAGTCTCTTTAAGACTTTACCGTCCTTCGCGATACGTGCTCTGTATAATTTACAGAGCGCTATTTATATCCGACTTCCCATCTCGGAATCCCATGCACCTTGGGAGCCACGAGCTCCGTGCTCGTCCGCTGGAATCGACAGAGTCGCCAATGAAAAATCTTCATTAAATCCAAACAGTGCGAAGTAAGACGCTAAAAGAATTCACTCGATAGGGGAAGACCCGGTGGCGTGCTACGGGCCCAGCTCGGTAACGAGTTTATCAAGAGAAGTGAGACGTCCCATAAAGAATATGGCGGCCAGAGTATTTATCACCTAAATAAATTACAATTGCGAGCAGCTATCGTTTTTTCCACCCTTTACGGCCCTCTAGCAATCCGAGCATGAGGCGATACTTAGGTATAATATGTATAACGAAGACAAATAGCCTGCAAATTTTATTAATTCGTTAAGTCAACCCAATAGGAATCCACGTATATATACGCATACGTTATCTATATACATGCTGTATATATATATATATATATATATATATATATTCATTATACCCATGCTATCCGATACAGCATAAGGCCCCAGGAGCAAAGGCCCAGGATGGTCGATCGAGGCATACCCGGTCGCTCTTCACTCCGTGACTCGAATGACGATCAACTTTTTACATGGAACCCAAGAACCGATCGTAACGTGCTCATTACCGATTCGCACCCTGCGACGTCCCGACGCGTTACGTCACGTTCTACAGTTAACACCCCAGCTTACGGACACCCGTGGTTTCGATCGCGCTTCGCAAGAGGGTCCTGCCGATTCGGAATAATCCTCCTGTTGTCCTCGGTTACCCTTTTCTTATTTACGGTCCATCCACACGCACCATCCGCCCCCTTTCCTCCCTTATTCGCTCCCTCCCTCTCCACCTCCCACTCCCATACCGACCATACTTCCCTGACTGACTCTCCTCTCCCCTCGATTTACCACCCCGCCCCATCCTCTCATCACCTCCACCTATTCCCAGAACCTCGAAGTCTACGTCTCCCCCTCCCCCCCTTATCCCTCCACAGCCGAGAGGAACGTCGTGCCTTCCCTTTTTATCCCTTTCTCTCCTGGTCTTTTCCTCTATCGCACAAATGGAATTCATTTCTAGTTCCTTGACTCCCGGTTCCACCCCCCTCCTAACCGCACAGAGTTCCACAAGCAGCATATCCCCGCCATTCCGTTTCACAAGCACGACACACTCGATCCTCTCCCCCC